AAATCAATTGGAGGGATAAAACTCCCCAGAGGGCAGCCAATTAAAGGCAAAGGGGAGGTAGAGAAACTCTGACAAGACCCAAGGGCTTAAAAAGGAAGACCAGCAGTCCCAAGCCTGGGGATCTGGGGACTCAGTCAGTGGCAGGAGACCTCAGCGGGAAACCAACATGAGATTCTTCAGGCAAAGATCCCCGAAACACTTTAAAAATACTCTGAGAGAAGCAAATGTTAGCATGAGGGCTAATGAGATGAGGCAGAGAGATCAGAGATGACAGTTGAGCATCCTTCTCCAGTGAGGCCCAGCAGCCACCACGCAGCGTCCAAACCTGAGTTAAAGCCGTTTTAACCTCTCGTTTATAATAACACAGAGACTTGTGCGACTGATTGCGGGGAATTGTCAGCGGATGAAAAGATCGCCGGGAGTCAAACTCTGCGCGCTGTATGTGGCTCGCGGGCCCACGGCACAATCGCCCGGTGGGAAATTCAGCAGCGGCAACAAAAGCAGGCTTGTTATCATGATAACAGACGTGGCCGTTGACTGTGACAAACTGCAATCCAATATGTCGCATAAACAGAAGAGCGATTGTACAGCTGGGCCTGTTGTGACCAACAGGACACAAAGCAGTGGCGGACCGCCAGCCGATAGCTACGAGACGGCATCTTTACACGGCGAGATGACCGACGAGCAGCGGAGGCCTGAGCGTTCGCGGCGGATTCATCAAACAGAAGCATGACCGTTCTGCCATTCCGAGATGAAAAAGCAGAAAAAATATCACATTTTCACTGGTTGCGCCATTAAATCATCGGGAGGGATGTGTCGGCAATCGGACGTCGTTTCTTTGAGGCGGAAATGAATTTGTCTGGGAGAGCCAGCGCGCTCCGCTAACACGCCGTCAACAATCATCACCTGACAAGACGTCTCAGCTTTATCTTAGATGATGCATGCTGCTGCCGTCCTGCTTCTTTTTTTTTTTTTTTTAAGGTCGCTGCTGACACCGACAACATCCAATAACTCCACTAAATATTTACAATTTCTAAATATGCTGCAAGAAATATGCATTGCAAAGAAGATTGTCCATCAAACGCGTGACAGCAGGCGGAAATTTCCACATCGGTCACCGTCGCTTCGACAAAACAGCCTTTAGTTTTCATCCGCATGAACAATAAACAGAGGGGCCAGCAGGTACAATAAGCGCCGTATATTACACGGCAAGACAATGAAGAGCTGCACAAACAAATAACAAGTTATTAGAGTTCATCGTCTATGTGTGGAGGAGAGATGCACCAGGAGTCCAGCTGTTGAAAGAGCTGCAGCTGTGAGCAGGAGCGTCGCAGCTGATGCTACAATCCAAAGAACCACAAAAGGCCCTTTTTCAGAGGAAACCATACAGTCAGTGTCATCAAAATGATAAAAAAATAAACTTTAATTTAGATTTTTATGGTCACAGAGTTGCGGGATGTTCTGATGATAAACTGAAACTGGATATTGTGCTATGAGACGCCACTGAGGGGGAAAAAAAACAACAAAAAAAACAAGCCGGACCTGCAAACATTCCACCCCAGAGACCGGACCTGATTCACTGACCCAGAAAATGCCAGCTGATCAGCGATTCAGCCCGGCTCAATCGTGTAAACACGTATAATATCAAATGTCCAAAAGGGAAACAGAGAGAGATAAAGAGCGACCAAACATCTGCATTTGAAAAAAAAAAAAAAAGGACATTTACGGGTGCTGTGTGATGATCTACAACTAGAAATCTGTTGCCTCCTGACAGTCAGTTCCTAGATGTGAAGTGGGTTTTCCAGCTGAGGGCAGAGAGGGGGGGTGAAATGCCAACACTGTCAGGTCAATGTCTTCAAGAGTCTCACTTGATGCGGCCTTCACTCCACGAGGTTTTAATGACGAGCGATACCATCGAACCCGAGGCGGACGCAGCTCGAGGTCGGGATGCGTAACTGTGATCACAAAATAAATAAAGATTTTCTACATTAGGATCCCCGTGAATCAGAGCAGCTGTTCGTGTGGGTACAGAAATATGCAGCGTCTGAGAGAAGTAGGCTGTCTAAGAAAGAAAGAAGGAATCCCAGCGTCGGTTCAGATTTCACAGCTCCTGTTATAGCTCCGGCCGGGTCGGTGCCGAGGCCTCGTCTCCTCCACAGCATACGATGCACACGGTCCCAGTAACATACAGCGAGGCGCCGCGGTAATAATCATCAAAACAGCGCCCATGTCCGCGGGGCCACACAGATCATCCTGCATGTGAGCGACCCGTATTGATTTCTGTGGCGCTGACAGCGGCCCTGGCAGACCGGGGCACCCAGTTGGCAGCGGGGGCAAACAACCGCCCTGTCACAAGGGTTGACACCTGTCCAGCAAACAATAGCTCATGATTATCTGTGCAATTTGTGCAACGCATTTCTCTCTCGCTCAGCCGGTATTTATTCAAGAGCTGAACGACTGAAGCTCAGCTCGAGGCGCCGCCGATATTTCAACAAACGCACGACTTGGGCGACTCGTCACTGCCTCTGTGCTGCTGAGGTGAAACAGTCAACTGCTTTTATGGACAGTCCAGGTTCAAATGTCAAACTGATAATCAGATTAGGAGCTGATAAACCGCAGAGGAGACGGTTTATCAGCACCGGCGCCAGTAAAGGTCACGTTTATGCTTTTATATCAGGGCGAGGTGACACGGCAGAAAAATATTACTATAAAATGTCATTTTAATGACCTATATTTAAAAAGAAACCAACAGAAAGTAGGTTCAATTTGAAATCAGCCACCTTACGTTGATTGTAACTACTTGAGCCTGTTTATCAAAGCAGTACATTCACACACAAACCAGCATTAATGAGGATAAAGGAATCATTGCGTGACAGGACGATAGCAAAGGGTGACCAGAGTGAAGCAAGTTAAAGCTTTGACTTGCTGATCCTGCCCCCGCAGTCAAGACCGTCAGTCCTCGGAGGGCGTCGCTTAGATGGAAGCTTTTACAGCGTAAAGCCCACCTCACCCTCAGCCAGCAGCTGCCGGCTGGAGGGAGGGCCACAGGGTTCCAGCACCAATGGATGGGCTGTTTATGGACCAGTTTGTGTGCAAACTCAACGCTTTTGTGGCGTCTAACACTTTTAAGTGAAACTATCAAACGTTCTACTTTTCTTTCAGCTGTTGATGAAGCGTCACGTCGCCCAGGCCGACTTTACGACGATCACACCAGGAAGGCCCGCCATCAGGTGTTAATTCAACACGTACATGTGAGTCCTGCCCACTGGTCGACTGCATACTGCAGGAAACAAGGGAATAAAATCACAACAGCTGCTCCTGTTGTGTGAGGCGGTGGTATCCACAGCAGCTCAGTCCAAATACAAGCATGAGCTCACACAAAGCACACGGTTATTATTACCAGAACGATCCAAAAACGTATCTGGGATGAATATTTGCTGTGATAACAGATTACAAAAGGCCATGTTGGGGGTGGCACTGGAGTGAACTCGCTGGTCCCTCCGTTCTCACCGTGCAGCATTCCTCACAAGTGGCTGGAACATTTTGGGTGGAGAGAGGAAGCATTCTTCTCTGAGCATGCAGGTCGGACGGAGGATGAAAAATCTGTGAGTAGGTTCACAGCTCAAACCACAACAAGAAGTCAAACATGATCCACCGACAGAGGCTCACGTCGGCACACGGCTCGTTCACTCAACAAACAAACCACCACTTTAAACATGAACTAAACAATGTTGAAACCATTATTTGAGGGAGCAAACTTCCTCCCAGACACACAAGAAGTCATGAGTTTAAGGTCTGTGCGTGGAAATGTTGGGCATGAGGAGGAAATAGGCTCGACCCGGTGCTGATAAGAACAAAAGAGCAAAGATAAGAACAAGTGATCCTGCTGCTGATGACACTGGAGGAAAAAGGACTTCTGGAGAGTTTTTAGTGAGCTGAGGAACTCTCATGCTCACAGGAACAAATGGATGGCGTGTGATATAGGATCACAAAGTTGGTTTACAGAACTACAACAACAGCAACATCCATAAGTGTGACAGGAACAGGAAAGGTATCCAGGTATCTACACAAACAGCGACATCACAGCGTTTTCTAGGCAAAGTGGTGGAAGCAGGATTTTTCCAGCTTTCTTCTACACAAGTCGCCCTCGGGCAACTCGCACAAATCATGCAGCCGATGCGTGAGCTGTGGCGGGTGTGGCGCCTGTGATTGTTGGAGTGCAAATGTTTGCATTGCACATACTGCAACGACTTCCACTCCAGAAAACTGTCTCCTAGCGTTATCCCACGGCCCCACACAAGCCACACCTAAAGCCGTAACCAGATCCCAGCACGCCGAGGAGGTGTGGTGCCCACTCTCCCCAATAAAGACCACATGCTCGTGGAGCAGATTTAGGGCTTGTGTGAATGTAAGAAGTCCATGAGCTGCAGTTATGAAACGTGCAGCCTGATCTCATCATAACACACACATGCCTCCCTACACGCCACAAAGTGCTGCAAGACATCATCCACAAATCCTGATTCTTTTTTTTTCCCATCTTGCAGCTGGGTTTTTTTTTTTTTTTGGTAACACAATGCTAGATGCTCTGTGTGTCTCTGAGCAGTGTGATCATTGCTGCTCACGCTGGTCTTTGCTGGATATGAAGTGAAATTTAAGCCCCACATCACACCGGAGAGCAGATCCCACAGACCCCCAGTTTGGAAAGCAGCTGGATTAAGGTTGTAAAGGAAGAGGAGACAAAGGGCATTAGCTCCAGTGTAGCCTGACAGGAGACTAGGTGGTGATAGTGAACCACCACCAACACTCATTTCTGTGCGCTGCTGTGTTTTTTTTTTTTTTACTAAATCCGCAAGGCTAAGCTAACGATTTGAGTCCAGATCGGTGCGCATCACCAGCCTCTGCTCACGTTACATCCACAGATAGATGCTTTAAAACCCACGTCCCGGTTCACAGATGTGGATTTTTTATTTTTTCTCTCTCTCTCCATCCAAACAACGTACCTGGTCGAGAGGGAGGTTGATAATTTCGCTGATGGGCTGCAACAGAGTGGATCCAGTGCATGATGCTGTCGTTTGGGTAGCCATGCTTGGACGGTAAATCCTTTTCTTTCTTTTTCTCTCTCTCTCTTTCTCCGTCTCTGCTGCTGCTGCTGCTGTCCTCCGGTTCGCTTCACTCCCCCTCGGCTGCCCGCGATGATAAATACGCCGCCGCCGCTGCTGCTGCTGTTGTTGCGACGAGCTGGACGGTTGTCATCCACCGCACACATCCAGCGGAGAGCAGCGACCGCGGCGAGAGCCTTCACGCCTGCGCACTCTCGCTTTCGTCGGAGGGCCGTTAGGAACGAACGAGTTTTTTCTTTTATCTCTTCTTTTTTTTCTTTTTTACTTTTACCAACATTAAACTGTGTGCTTTCTTTATTTTTTAAAATTATTTTCACATCAGAATACAGACTGTGTGACTTGTAAACACTCATAATGGTTTATTGACTTTGTGACGTTTTGATCAGGCATCTGCGCAGTCAGCCCCACCAGCTCCATCAGCTAACCAGAGCTGCCGATTGTAATTTTTTTCCTATTGATTAATCTATCGACTATTTTAACGATTAATCTATTCGTTTTCCTATTAAAAAAAGAAAAAAAACATCACTCCATTTGGTTTTGACAAACTGTACGTCGTCCTGTAATGAAATGCGGCACAAATTTAAACATTAATGTGCAAACCTTAAGGGTTGAAGTGGAAACTCCAACATGCTGATACATAAATAAATAAAAGAGCTCATTATTTAACACTATTCAGTAGTTTTGGACCGCAGTCCGTTTGGTTTAGGTGACAAGTGTTGATTTTTATTATTTTTGAAGGTTTTTAAATATATATATATATAAAGAGGGACATTTTTCATGCATTTGGAACCAAAAATATGTCAACTTATCAGAAAGTTTATTTAACATAGTATCAAAGTCTGTAATGAATACCAACAAGTATTTTGCACGTATTCTTTCTTGGGGTCCAGTTGACCCCGAAAGACCTCCAACGTATGGCAACATGAAAGTCCTGAATAGGCTTAAGTTAGTCCATCCATCCATTATCTATACACCACTTAATCCTCTCTAGAGTCACAGGGGGGCTGGAGTCTATCCCAGCTGACTCAGGGTGAAGACAGGGGACACCTGGACAGGTAACCAGTCTATCAGATTAAGTTAGTCAAAAAATCAAATTCCAACAAAGTGATAAAGCAGAGAGCAGCTAAAGCAGCTTTCTGTCTCCTGGTTGTTTTCATTGAGTTATTCCATCACAGTTCATCAGAGGCCTCCTGAGCAAACATCTCAGATTTTCTTTAAACTTTTTAGTCATAAACTATGAATATTGTTTGAGTTATTTTTTGGCCTTTTTGCCTTTATTACATAGGACAGTCGAAGGAGAAGGAATGTGGGGGAGGAGAATGGGGGAAGGGTTGCAGCAAAGGGCCATGAGTGGGATTCAAACCCACGGCCGCTGCATCGGAGACTACAGCCCCTGTACCTGGGTCGCCAGCTCAACCAGGTGAGCTGTAGCAGCAGCATAAACTATGAATATTGAAAGTGATGTCTATGATTTTAGATTAATATATCAAGTACTTTCCAAGATTTTGTTTTGCTTTTTTAATTGCAGAGGAATCCATTTTTAGCTTTTTCTTTTCACACATTTATATTTTAGGCTATGTTTGGATGACAGTATCTCAGACCTTCTAGAGGTTAAAGACAGACATTTTTACTGTTATTTCTCATCATACCATTCATTCATAATCTAACCAAGATCAAATAATCTCTGATTGTGTGTGAGCTGGAACAAACAGAAATTGTTCTATCACTAGATTTTCAGATGCAATGACCCAACTGCTCTGTGACTTTAGTTGTAGCTTAAAATTGAATGAAAACATCCCAGAAGTCACAGTACAGCCGTGGTCTTTAAAATTCTGTATGGTGAGTTTAGTTTGGAGGACAACATCGTGGTGATAAACTCAGGATTTTAGTGCAGAGCAGCAGTTTGAGAGTGATTGCTGGTTAACATGTCGTCTTACTGAGCCACCTTTCCGTCACTATTTCATAATCAATCTGCACCGACTGGAGCTGACTAATGATTGGACGCTGCTACCTGCTGATTTGTCACGTTTATAGACACCGGTATCTCTTGTACATTTTGTAAACATAAGACAGAAACAATTTTCAGTTTGAGATAGTCCAAAAGTTTCAACTTTATTAGGAGGACAGCCACACTTGAACTTTTAGGAGGTTTAATCTGCACATCCAAACAAACATTTATGTTGCACTGCAATCACTTCTGTCCTGTTTGATGCCTTCATGTCCCTTTTTAGCATTCCTCTTCTTCCCTCTCTTTCTCTCTCGTCTGTAATAAAGCCGATTCCATCCTCCTCACGATCCTTCCTCGGAGCTGCCATGTCCTCCCTGGCCTCAGAGCTCTCCCTCCTCCACCCTCACCTACATACCAGTAAACAGAGGCACGCTTGGCGTACATCGGCTTGTGGTGCAAAAATTATATAAAGTGAATAAAGAGATGCAAACCTACTAAAATCAGATGTAAAACCACAAAAAATTACATAAAATGACTAGAGACAAACACAAATCAACTAAAGCTGATGTGAAAATGTAAAAAGAGACATTCAGTTTCTTAAAAGTGAGTAAAGGTCAATATAAAAGAGGCACAAACATATTAAAAAAACAATGTTAAACTACTAAGAATACATAAAATGACTAAAATGAACCACCAACTAGACCTAAAGCTACTAAAAAGAGAGGAAAATCCTAAACAAGATGCACAATCAGTAAAAAGAGACATAAACCAACTAAAAATAGGTGTGAATACTTAAAAACAGACCTTATATGAATTAAAAGTGATATCAAGTAGTTTTTTTCTAAGTAAAAAACATTTTAAAAGACATATAATGAATAAAAACAGATGAAAGCCTACGAAACACAGATGTGAAAAGTTATAATGAGACATTTAATGGCTAATAAGTGACATAAAAGTGAATAAAATGAGACACAAACATATAGAGAAGAGATGTAACACCACTACTGAAGATGTAAAATGATTAAATAAAACACAAACCCACTCTAAAGGGATGTGAAAACACAAGAAGAGACATTAGGTGAAGAAAACAGATGCAAACTTACTAAAATAAATGTGTAAAATTCTAATATTATTAGAATTAGATGTAAAACCACAAAAAAGACATAAAATGATAAAAAAAAAAAATAAACACAAACCCACTTAAAAGAGATGTCAAAACCTAAAACGAGACTCTCAGTGACTAAACAGGGACATAAAGTTGAAACAACAACAACAACAAAACACACAAATGAAAAACTAATAAAAAGAAAAACACAACCTAAAACACGAAGCAAAACCCCAAAAGAGATGCAAATATACTAAAAAGATGTGAAAAAAGAGACATTGCATTACTAAAAACTGATTTTAAATTACTAAAAATAATTACACAGTAAAAAAGAGACGCAGACTTAATTAAATTCAGTGTTAAATAACTAAAAATGGACTTTAAATGTTAGTTATTTATGTCATTATGGAATAAATAAACAATACAAGTATTAACACATCTTATTTTTCTTTTTTTTTAACATTCTATAAATGTGCCTCCTTTTAATTCAAATTATAAACCATTTTTAGGAGAAAAAAAATAACTAAATTCCAGGATTGAATTTACATTTTTAGTTGATGTATAGAAAACCCTCCTGGCGCTCCTCTACTGAGCATGCGCGGTGCGGCCGCTCTCAAATAAACTGCGTCTCCTCACTGACTTTAACATGTCAAGAGAAATTAGGAGTTTGATCCCATCCAAAGCGCCGTCTCGTCCCACTTTCACTATCCTGCACGCCACCCACGAAGGAAGCGACGCTCGCTGCGTGGCTCGGGGCTGGAGGTGAAGCATCTTGGCCGGCAGCGGCTCTCTGACGGCGGCGGGGATGGTGACAGTGTGGGTGGGGAGATGGCGGCCCGGCCCTCCGTGACAGCCCTCCGCTCTGACCTCATGTGAGCGCATAGTGGGATCCGGCAGCCAATCCGGCGCTGGAAACGGATCCCTGGGTTTCTGATGAACAATCTCGGAAGCGAATTGGATGCGAAGGGAGCAGCGCTTCCTGCGGCCCCTCCGGCAGCACGTGAGGAGGAAAAGCATGACGTAAGAGGGGCAATTGGAAGGACTCGGTGGCGGAAACAGGGAGATGAGGGGGTGATTCAGAGACAGGCAGGTCTGCATGAGAAATCAAATCAATATGTGATGAGCTATGATCAGCTTTAGGAGTTTTTTATTTGACTGATGCAGTGAAATGCAAAGCGGCTGCTCTCCAGGCTGTGCAGCAACACAAAGACATCATAAATGGACAAATCTTTAGGAAATAATTAAACTAAAGTGCAGTGTGTGTTGGCTGCCTGCGTGTTTTGACATGGATGTATTATATATTTTTCTCAAACATGACCAGATGTTCCCAATAAAACACATCAGTATAAAATCTGTTTCCAAAAAGTGAGTTAAATCAAAAAGCTGCTCAGGTTGCTGAAGTTCATGCACTTTTATATCACTACATGTGGAGTTTTTAAATACTTGTAACGCGCTGTGTTTGAGTCAAATTAAGCACTTTTTTAAAAAATGAATCTCATTTAGCTTTCAGTCTACCTTTGTGGATTTTATCAACATTAAAAAAACAACTCCGTGTCCCTTTAAACTTGTAATTTCAGTAAAAGGGCAAAAATGAGGTGTGCTTCCCCCTCAGGCTTTGTGGAGAAAAGGAAAGAAAACAGTGTGGTGATTAAATCATGTTTGTTTGGGTAAAGCAAACAGTCAAGTTGGAAAAGTTGTTGAGTTGACTTTCCCTAAAATGAAATTGAGAGGAATCAGAAGATGTTAGTGTCTCTAACTTCATCAGTGTCTTTAAAATGACTTGCTTATTTAATTTGGATTAACTTTTCATGCTGCCAATTGAAGCAGCAAAAGAAAACTTTAATTTTGAGTTTTCCTTGACATAAATGAAGATATTTGCTGCAAATTAATGCAGAAAAATCACATATTTGGTGCATAAAAAATGACCAGAATGCACAAAACTGACCTGCAGGAGGATGCCCAGACCTTTGCTTCATGTGTCTACCTCTGGCTTCACTGCACACAAAGTTTTAGATCCAGTTTTCTGCAAAGACGAGGCAGCATCAGTGATGCCGTGTTAGCTGTCTGAATGATTACGCAACAACATCAGGGCCTTCAGCAGCTTTTTATTCTTCACTCTATCAACACCATCTAGTGGTTTACAGTAAGCTTTCC